CCTGCTTCTGTCTCTGCCTCTCTCTCTCTGTCTCTCATAAATAAAATCTTTATAAAAAAAATAGAAGATCATAGAATGAGAAAGTGAATTATTGGACTGGAAATGACCAGTGAGCCTGCTTTAGTGGAGCTAGGTACTGTGGACTGCAGATTAATAAAGTGCAGATGAATCCATAATGGGGGACGTCATAATTTAGTAGGAAATAAGGCTATGAGAATTGTTGGAAAAATTGACTGATCCCTGTAGGTTAGGACCTCTAGAGGCTGTGGGAAAAGCAGCATTCACTTCAGCTGTGCCCACTGCAGGCTCCGTCCAGAGACCTGGTATATGGAACACAGGTAGGATCGTGGATGAGTGCAGATGGGAACCTGATGGGTGCCTGTCTTGTACCCAGACTTCTGCTATGACGCTAGCATTTGCTGAAGAATGAAAAGGGACCATGGTGATGTCATTACCAGCTCGGATTTAACATAACAGGTGGTTTCACACCCTATTTGTTGCATTTAGAAAAACCAGTATTATTCTGTATGCACTCTGGACTTCGTTTGGAATGAATTTTGACCATTTTTAGTAATCAAATCCACATTTAAAAATGAAAGGGACACCCCACTGAGAAGATTCAAGAAAACATACTGCAATTGTTAATTCCTGACACAAAACCTGTCTTCTGCATCTACAGGATTTCTAAGCCCCAGGTAGGTACCTGTTGCAGTCGAACTGTTGAGTAGCTAACTCACTTAGTCACCCAAGCAATTACATGTTTATTAAGACTGAGCAAAGTAGCACACAGTCATTAAGTACTGAAGAAAAGCCAACCAATTTCACTGTCTACTGTGTCAAGACTTGTAAAGAAGGTGATGAAATGCCTATTTGAAGTAGGCTGAGAAAGGAGGGGAAAAAGCATTTTCTCTCAACTTTCTGAAAAGCAGGAATCTTTCAGAAGTAAGTGAAAAAGAGGGAAAGTGTGTGTGTGCATGCTTAAGCTTGAATGAAAATGGCAAAAGGTAGATTGGAAAAGGCAAACATGCTGAAAACAAGAGGCAGCCAACCTTAAAACGGGGTGCTAGAAAATATTTTTCTGTGATCCCCACAGCAACACTTTCTGCCTTTTTTTTTTTTTAAGATTTTTTATTTATTTTATTCATGAGACACAGAGAGAGAGGCAGAGGGAGAAGCAGGCTCCATGCAGGAAGCCTGATGTGGGAATTGATCCAAGGACTCCAGGATCAGGCCCTGGGCTGAAAGGCAGGCACTTAACCACTGAGCCACTTGAGCATCCCACTTTCTGCCTCTTTCACAAGGTGTGCTCTCCTCCATGAGCTCCACCTCTGATTTGTCACACTTAGGTGACCAGTGATTTGGACACCTACAGGTTCCCCTTCCTTTGGAGGCTGGCATAGCTAGATCCTCAAGTGAAGACAGGAAGTTGTAACCACTGACCTGTCTGTGGGCGAGGGGAGCTGCGGGTGCTCACCTTTCTCCTTCCCATGGATTATTTTGTCGTCCTTAAACCTGCTTGTTGAATTGGGCATGGGGAGACCCCAAGATAAAAGTGCAAATCTGATTACCCTGTTACCTTAGCTGAGGGAATCTGGAGGTTTCCTTCCTCAAATAAAGCTGGTAGTTGTTGAAGGGGCATGGAGCACACAGGAGAACCACCAATGTCTTGGAAATGGTGGAAACATGTATTGGGATTCTCCAGAGAAACAGACCTGAAAGGATATAGAGAGATATGTGAAAAGAGGCTTATTCTAGGAATCAGCTTCTGTAATTGTGGAGGTCAAGAAGTTCTATGATCTGGGATGCCTGGATGGCTCAGCGGTTTAGCACCTGCCTTTGGCCCAGGGCATGATCCTGGAGTCCCGGTATCGAGTCTCACATCAGGCTCTCTGCATGAGACCTGCTTCTCCCTCTGCCTGTATCTCTCATGAATAAATAATAAAACCTTAAAAAAAAAAAAAAAAGAAGAAGAAGAAGAAGAAGTTCCATGATCTGCCATCTGCAAGCTGGAAAACCAGGAAAGCCCAGTGGTGGAATTCATTCTCAGTCCAAACACCCAAGAACCAGGACAGTCAACATATGAGGATAGGAGAAGATATATGTCCCAGCCCAAAGAAAGAGCTATAATCTGCCCCTCCTCCACTTTTCTCTTCAGACCCTCAAGGGATTGGATGGTGCTCACGCACATTTGTAAGGGCATCCTCTCAAATCAGCCTACTGATTCAAATGCTAATTTCTTCAGGAAACACCTTCACAGGCACACCCAGAAAAAGGTTTTTTACCAGCTATCTGATCATTCCTTGGCCCCATTCAGGTAAGTTTTAAAATTAACCATCACAACACATGCAGCTCCTCTCCTTTGGCCTCTCCCACATCTTCCGGTTTGGCATCTATCATACCCTGTCCAGAACAGTAGCTATAGAATTCCTAGAGAGGAGATGAAAACAGTTCCCACCAAGGGACAGTGGGGCCAGTCCTGGGTCCTTCTCTTTCAAGAGATGCTTATCAATAACGATACTTGACATTTTATTTTTTTAATATTTTATTTATTTACTCATGAGATACACAGAGAAGAGAGAGGCAGAGACACTGGCAGAGGGAGAAGCAGGCTCCACGCAGGGAGCCTGACATGGGACTCGATCCCAGGTCTCCAGGATCACGCCCTGGGCTGCAGGCGGCACTAAACCGCTACGCCACCGGGGCTGCCCCATACTCGACATTTTAGAATCCACATTACCCAGCTGCTCACTCTGCTCCTCAGTAACTTAGATAACTGCCTCACAGTTACCCAATGATTCAGAGATGCGAGCCTAGTAACCAAACAGCTCTCCCAATACAGGATCTCTCCCTCCCCAGCAGAGCTCCCAGCCCTGTCGGCCCATCGGTCCCTAGAGTACCCATCAGAGGGTCCATGGCCAGTACTGCTACAGCAGCCCCCTCCTCACACCCTTATTGTTTGTCTTCTGGGAGGATCCCCTCCCTGAGCCCCTCCTTCACTTCCCCCCTGCTGTAGCCACTAGGTTTTTGTGGCCTATGGTGGCTAAGCATGGCCATTAGGAAACAACACTAGTACAATGAAACCTGTGCGTTTAAATTCTGTTTGAATGGAGTCGCTTTGCGCATATCATGGCAGTGGGCAGTGAACTGTACTTTTGGCCCTGGGCAGCCACCCCAGCTGCAAGGGTCTAAAGTGTGGGTGGCTTTGTGAAAATCTACCCTCTGTGAAGGAGAAACATGACGTGGATGTACTATGATGGTCACTTATTGTGTAAGCCAGTTATTGTAACTAGTTTAATGCTTAAGGGAAGTAGTTTTAACTGTTTTTACTGAAAAGATGGCTTAAACCTTTGGGACTAACCCAGCCTCGCTTTCCCACCTTTGGGAAGGCAGGAAGATAACCTCTTTCTTTCTTTCTTTCTTTCTTTCTTTCTTTCTTTCTTTTTTTTTTTTTTTTTTTGATTTTATTTTCTCTTGAGAGACACAGAAAGAGAGGCAGAGACATAGAGGAAAAAACAGGCTCCCCATAGGGAGCCCAACGGGATTCCATCCTGGGACCCCAGGATCATGCCCTGAGCCCAAGGCAGATGCTCAACCACTGAGCCACCCAGGAGGCCTGATGATCAATGATTGGTGGGTCAGAATATGTGCTCTGAAATATGTCTCACTAGTGGAAATGTGTTTACCTGTGGCTTTCCAGACTCTGCTTGTCTGGTTCCCCTAACAACAGTGGACATATTTACAATCAAGAGGCAGCTTGCGGCCAGAGAATGGAGGGAAAGAGATCACAGACTTCCAGGAACATTATCTTCGCTAGCCTGTAAGCTCCTGGAGGATAGGCTGGCCCACAGATACTCACTCTGTACCTGAAAAGGGTAACTAACAGAGAAAGCACTTGGTAATTGTTCTGAATATGATGCTCTAAGCACATGTGTCACTTGGGCCGATAATGCCCTTTATTTTACTAAGTGCAGTGGGACAAAAGGGTACCAGTCTGGGATAATTCTGTGGCAAGTCTGCCTCTACACAGGAGAGTAAGTAGTTCTGGAGATCCCTGTCTTAAGAAGATAGGAATTAGTTATTTAGGAAGACAAAAGGATAATTATAGGATAATTTAAGGATAATTATAAGACTTATCTTTGTTGGGTGCCTACTATGTGCTAAGTACTGATCTCATTTGACTTTACAACTGTGGAGCACACATTATTTGCTTCATCTCTATTTGAAGAGACTGAGGGAAGCTCAGAGAAGTTAAATTGCTCATAGCTAGAGAGCTGTGATTTTTGGAACTTAAACGCAGGTATATACAGCTGCAAAGCCCACCCTCCGCCTAAGCAGTACCTGGCACGTGGTAGCTGCTCAGTAAATATCTGTGGAATCAGTCAATTTCCCATCCTCATCCTGTCTTCTCTATCTGCCTACCTGGGCCTTCCCCTGATTCCTCCTCTGACCTGGCTTGACGTTTCAAAGTAATGTTGACATTATGTTTAAAGGTTTTGGAAGAGGCTGTTGTTAAAGTGCGGTGCTCCTGACCTGGGAGGAAGAGCTTGGCCCTCTTCTGACACATTAGCCCAGATCACTTCTGCATCATCCAGACCAACGCAAAGGCCTGGAATTGGTCCTGGTAAATTTGGACTGGGGAGGGAGAGTGGGAGGTAAAGCCTGCCATGAGGGAAGGGCAAAGGCCAGAAGAGAGAGTCTGCGGACACAATTATTAATCTCGCAAAATTTCCAAAAAGGTCGGGCCCCATTTTCCCTTGGGATGCCCAATACATGTTTGCAGGATTAACAGAAACCAGAAGCTGGCATTGTTCGGGACTCCAGGGCAGGCCATCCCACACGAGGGTCCGCCGAGCGTCTCCTCCCCGGAACACTTGGCGGGGGGGGGGGGGGGGGGGCGTGGCCCGGGCCGCGAAGTGGCCCCCGCCGGTCCCGGCGGGCGGGCAGGAGCTCGGAGGCCATTGGCTGGCGAGCAGGCTGCGCAGGGGCGGGGGCGCCGCCGAAGGGGACTGTTTGCTCCTACGGGCTGTAGATGGAGCTGTCCGGCCCCGGCGAGGGGGAAGGCGCCTGGAAAACGTTCGTCTTCTCCCTGGCCGGCCCGAGCGGGGAACAGGACTCCCAGGATGCAGTTTGTGTCAACACGGCCGCAGCCTCAGCAGCTGGGCATCCAGGGCCTGGGGCTGGACAGCGGGAGCTGGAGCTGGGCCCAGGCTCTGCCCCCGGAGGAGGTCTGCCACCAGGAGCCGGCGCTGCGCGGGGAAATGGCCGAGGGAATGCCGCCCATGCAGGTGGGTGCAGCCCCCGCCCAGCGCCATGGCCGCGCCGCCTGGCCGTGGGGGCGGGGCGCGGGGCTGCGGGACCCGGGGTGCGGGCGCGGGGCGCCGGGCGCCGGGCGCCGAGGGGAGCGGGGCGGGGGCGCGTCGCGCGGGAGGGCCCTGGGCGTGCGGGCGCAGGAGCTCAGGCCCGGGGGGCGGGTGGGCCGGGGCGCGGACGGACTCGCGCGGCCGGCGGGGCGCAGCGGCCCCGAGCAGGCCCGGCCGCGGGTCCCGCGCCCCCCGGCGTCCTCCGAGCAGGCCCGGCCCGCGCGCGCCGCCGAGCAGCAGGCCCCGAGGCCGCGTGCGGGCCGGGCCCGGTGCGGGCGCCCAGAGCAGGCCCCGCGCGAAGGCGGGCAGGGACCCAGCGGAGCGGCGACCGCCGCGCCTACCCCGGCCCGGGCTCCCGTCCGCGGCACTCGTGCCCCGGCCCGCGGTGTGCGCGCCCCGGGGACGCAGCGGGGCAGCCCGGCAGCCCGTCAGCTTGACGCCGTAGCCACTTTGACAAAAAGATTTTTTTCAGTGTCGTGTTGCCGTCTCTCGCGGAGTATAACGAGTAATTCACTTTTCCCGTGCACCGGCTGTGACGGAGGAAAGGGGCCATTGAGAGGTGACTTTGCCTTCTTTTCAGCCGGTGGCAAACTTGGCTGCACTTTGGAGTCACCCGAGCAGCGCTTAAGACTCCTGATGCTCCACTTCGTCCCCAACCCGTGAAATCCGCGTCTCTGGGTGGAGAGTAGACACCAGTCAGTTCTTTTTTTTTTTTTTTTTTTTAATTTTTTTAATTATTTATTTATGATAGTCATACAGAGAGAGAGAGAGGGGCAGAGACACAGGCAGAGGGAGAAGCAGGCTCCATGCACCGGGAGCCCGACGTGGGATTCGATCCCGGGTCTCCAGGACCGCGCCCTGGGCCAAAGGCAGGCGCCAAACCGCTGCGCCACCCAGGGATCCCGACACCAGTCAGTTCTTGAAGCTCCCTGAGAATCCCAGTGTGCACGAGTTTGAGAGCCGGTGCTTGGGGGTTGTGTACTGTGTGAAGCGGGCCGAGGGGGTGCGGGTAAGACCTGAGTAGCGCTCCCTGGAGAGTGGGGCCTCTCCCGGAGCCTGACCCCGCAGAAGCAGCACACCACCACCACCACCCCCACACCCCCCGCCCTGCTCCCGGCCTGCTGCTCACCCTGGCTCTGAGAAGTTAGCCAGGACTTGCTGTGCTGTGTTGTGTGAGATCATTTTTCAGCCTTACATCTCCAAACCTTACAAAAGTCTATTGGGCCCAGTGGTGCTCTTAACTTCCAGTGTCAGCTCTGTAAACTTTGTGGGTGGGGAGGAGTGAAGCCTCTATGAGCTCAGATGGATGGCTTCGATGGAAGAAACATCACCTCTTCACTTAACAGGTCTGGCACCCAGGACCCTGCTCCCCTTGACCCCATGTTGTGGAGTAGTGATTTCCTGGGAGCTGTCGGGTGTTTCTCTGTGGCTGTCACAGCTGCCCTGAGTTAGAGAGGGCAGTTGGCAGGCTTGTCCCTGCCAACCTGTTTTCATTTTAGAACATAGGAATAAGGACTTGTATATGGAAGAAAGACTGCTCATCTGCTCACTCGGGCTCTCTGGGGTCTCCCTTGGTCTCGGCTCTGCCAGGTATGGTGGCAGCAGCATTTACCTGCACTGTGTTTTTGTTACTGGCAGCACTTAGGGCTGCTCCAGTTGCCAGTGAAACCAGGAGCTGTAGAATGACTAGCCACGTCTCTGTGCCTCAATTCCATCATCTTTAAAGCAGAGATAATCATTCTTGCCCTAACCTGCTTAGAGATTGCAGGGAAGATTAGGGTCAGATGACTTACAAGAGAATTCTTACGTTGAAACAGAAGGCACTAGGCAACTCTAGAGATATTTGATCATCGAGTCTAGCCCCTGAAGAAAGTGGCTGTTCTGTGAAAGTGGTATGTGACATTGTAGACCTGCGAAAGGTCAGGTGGGCAAATGAGTGACCATTTTGACGCCTGCAGGTGGGAAATGGGACGGTTGGCCAGTGGCTCCTTAGGCTCTTATTGGGAACAGAAATGAACACCAGAGCCCGGTGCCGTGGGAGCATGGCAGGAGAGCAAGAATCTGTGGCATCCCATTAGTTGTTCCCTGACCTCAGAACCCCCTCCCCTCTCACACAGGGTCTCATCCCAGGCTGTCACTTTCTCCCTCTGCACACAGGCTCAAGAGTGGGACATGGATGCCCGGCGACCAATGCCTTTTCAGTTCCCGCCCTTTCCGGATAGGGCACCTGTCTTCCCTGACCGCATGATGAGAGAGCCCCAGCTGCCTACGGCAGAGATCTCACTCTGGACCGTGGTGGCTGCCATTCAGGCCGTGGAGAGGAAGGTGGATGCCCAGGCCAGCCAGCTGCTAAATCTGGAGGGGCGGACGGGGACAGCCGAGAAGAAGCTGGCGGACTGCGAGAAGACTGCCGTGGAATTCGGGAACCACATGGAGAGCAAGTGGGCCGTGCTGGGGACCCTGCTGCAGGAATACGGGCTGCTGCAGAGGCGACTGGAGAACATGGAGAACCTGCTGAGGAATAGGAACTTCTGGGTGCTGCGGCTGCCACCGGGCAGCAAAGGGGAAGTCCCCAAGGTACGTGGCGGTCCCAAGGGGCAGGGGTAGAATTGAGGACCAGCACATGTAAACAAAACTCTTTATTTCATTTGGCCAGAAAACTCTCTCTCCATCTTGCAGGATTTCAGCGTCTCTTTCTCTCATCTGAATGCAGTCGAGGCAAACTATGCTAACTGGAATTGCTAGAAATTTGTGACCATTGCCTCTGCGGGCCTTTCTTGTACCTCAGAATTCATGCTCCATTTCACCCTTCCATTCCCTCTCCTGCACCTGCCCCCATTCCCCAGTCCCCAGCCCCGGATCATCAACACTACAGTGTTCATTGATGACACAACCTTGTAATCCACTGAGAACATGGACATCACTGTGAGAAGCACACGTGCAGCCACCCAACGCTGCCTTCCGGATTCCTGCGGCCTCGCCAGTTCACCCTTCACTGACCCCCCCAGCTCACCCTGGCCTTCTCTTCTTTCTCCTGTGTGTCATCAACTCTTCCCCCTACCGATTGGTCTAGGTGTTCTAGAACATCACCCATCTGTGATGAAAACCTCCCTAGGCTCTGCCTCTTCCAGCAAGTGCCTCATCTCTCTGCTTCTCTTTAGAGCATATTTCCTTAAACACGTCATAGTTGCTGTCTTCCCTCCCTCTCCTTTTTAACCTTTTTATTGTAGAAAACCCAAACACACAAGTAGGTAGAACAGTGTGATGGACCATCATGTGCCCATCATATCTAGCTGCAACAGCTGTCAGCTCTCGGCTAGTCTTGTTTCCCCTAAGGCCCCACCCACATCCCATTTTACTTACTTATTTATTTTATTTTAAAGATTTTAATTATTTATTCACAGAGAGAGGGGCAGAGACATAGGCAGAGGGAAGAGAAGCAGGCTCCATGCAGGGAGCCCGATGCGGGACTTGATCCCAGGACCCTGGGATCACACCCTGAGCCGAAGGCAGATGCTCAGCCATTGAGCCACTCAGGCATCCCTCTCCCATATCTATCTATCTATCTATCTATCTATCATCTATCTATCTATCTATTTATTTAATTTCCCATTTTATTTTGAAGCCAACCTCAGACATCAGTCTTTTTTTCTTTATTTCTTTTTGGTAATATTTCAGCGCATAGATCTAAAAGGTAAAGACCCTTTTTCTGAAGTGAAACTTTGGTGTCACTATCACCACAAAAAAGCCGTAGCCTACTCAAGTAGCCAGTCAGTGTTCAAATGTTCTTTTCTTCCAAACACGTTTTAGTTTGTTTTCTGCTAGTTTGTTTGAATCAGAACTTTAAGAAGGTGATATATGTTTTAGGTCTTGTGGAATTTCTTGGTTCCTCCTCCATTTCTTTCACTTTCTCCTTGAAATCTGTCTATAGAAGAAGCTAGGCCATGCGTCCTCGTGGCGTTCTGGCTGTCGGAATTCTGTCCCTGTGTCCATCGTCTCATTGAACTTGTGCCCCTATTCTCAGTATTCCGGTAAATTGGTGATTGGATCATTGTCCCGGATACTTCTGCCAATCAAGCTTTTGTTCCCACCTTTCCATCCTGTTAGTCTCACCAAAGTCCTCATGGTGTCCACACTTAGCTCTGCCTTCATCCTCTCTGCCCTGCAGGTGGCATTGTAGGCAGGTGGCCACGCCCTCTTTTAAATACCTTTCTGTGTGATCCAGGTTACCTCTCTGCGAGTAGCTCCTGCTCCACCTTCTTCACTGGTTTCACCTCTTAGGTTTGGAGTGGTCCAGCGCTGGGTGTTGACCTTCGGTTCATCCTCTACACTTGCTCCCTCCTGATTTCATTCAGGCACCAAGTTTAAATGCAGCCCATGTGCTGTCAGCTCCCAAAGCAGTCTCCCCCGCCCACTCTCTCTCTCTTGCCCAGATTCCCTTCTTGAATGCCAGATTCACATGCTCACCTGCTACTGCAGCAGGATTCAGTAAATATCTTAGGTTTAACACTACCAAATTGATCTCCCATCTTCTGCCTGAAACCTGTTCTTCTCCATCCTCGTCTCTGTGAAGACAGCTCTACCCTTCCAGTTGCTCCAGCTGAAACCTTTGGGGTCATGTTTGCTTCTTCTCTTTCTCAACCCTCCTTCCTATATTAGGAAACACTGAGTTTTCTTCAAGATCCTGTCCATAGTCTGACCATTCCTTTCCACCTCCACCGCTCCCACCATCATCTGATGAGAGCCACCATCACCTCACCTCTATTGCCGTGGCCTCTTGCCTGGTCTCCTTGTTTCTGTCCTTGTCCCTCACCCTATACAGTGTATTCTCAACAGAGCAGCCAGAGCAGTCCTTTAAAAATATAAATCAGTTAACCTCTGCTTAAAATCCCCAAAGGGCTTCCCACCCCATGCAGCATAAATGCCCCTATTCCTTCAGGGACCTCATCTGCAGCCCACTCTTTCTGACCTCATCTCCCCTCTGCCCCTTTCATGCACTCCTTTCCAGCCACAGTCTCACCTCAGGGACTTCCCTTCACTGTTTTGCTCTCTCCCTGGGTACCTGCCCGGCTCCCTCCCCATCACTTCCATTAGGGGTCTGCCCTTCCATGGCTACTCACCACAAAAGAACCACGTCCCCCAATCCCAGCACACTCTTTTCCCCCGTCCCTGCTCTCATTTTCTCTAAGGCACTGTGCCATCGGGCACCTTAAATATTTGCTTCTTGTTTTTGTCTTCTTGGTTGGTTTTCCCTGACCAGAATGTAATTTCTGCTTGGCTCACCACTGAGCCAAGCAGAAATACTTGACTTGATTAGTCAATACTGACTTTTTTTTTTTTTTTTAAGATTTTATTATTTATTATTCATGAGAGACAGAGAGAGGCAGAGACACAGGCTCCCTGTAGAGAGCCTGATGTGGGACTCAATCCCGGGACCTGGGATCACAACCTGAGCTGAAGGCAGACGCCCAACTGCTGAGCCACCCAGGTGTCCCTCAATACTGACTTTTAGCTAGTATCCAAAAAGTATTTGCCGAGTGACTGTCCAGCTGGAGAGCTCACGCTTCCACATGAGGGACCAGATCTTCTAGGTCTCTTTATCTGCCAGTGACTTGGCCAGCAGAGTTGTTTGGTGGTGATTTATTGAGGCCTCATAGAATTGACTTGTAATAGTGGTCTGGTTCCTCCCTAGAACCTCCCCTCCCACTGCAGCCACAGAGATTCCTGTTTGGTATGGTTTGGCATATTGGTTCTCTGGCCCAATCAGCATCTCCTTACATGCTGCCCTCTCCTCCTATCTGTGGTGCATGTTTTATTTTTTATTATTATGTTTTTTAACTTTTATTTATTTATGATAGAGAGAGAGAGAGAGAGAGAGAGGCAGAGACATAGGCAGAGGGAGAAGCAGGCTCCATGCACTGGGAGCCTGATGTGGGATTCGATCCCAGGTCTCCAGGATCGCGCCCTGGGCCAAAGGCAGGCGCCAAACCGCTGCGCCACCCAGGGATCCCTGTACTGCATGTTTTAATTCAGTGCTGTGTCCTCACATGACACTTCTTTGTGTCCCATGCACAGGATCAGGCATTAGGAATTCTGAGTTGACATGAGTCCTCACGGAATGATAGAATAGTTATGGACCTGGAATCAGGGGACTAGGGTTGGTTGGCTTGTTTTACTTACTTTATTTGGGGCAGCCCTGGTGGTGCAGCGGTTTAGTGCCGCCTGCAGCCCGGGGCGTGATCCTGGAGACCCGGGATCGGGGTCAAGTCCCACATCGGGCTCCCTGCATGGAGCCTGCTTCTTCCTCTGCCTGTGTCTCTGCCTCTCTCTCTCTGTGTGTCTCTCATGAATAAATAAATAAAATCTTTTAAATAAATAAATAAATAAAGACTTTATTTATTCATGAGAGACAGAGAGAGGCAGAGACATAGGCAGAGAGAGAAGCAGGCTCCCTACAGGGAGTCCAATGTGATACTGATACTTGATCCCAGGATCCCGAGATCACAACCTGAGCCAAAGGCAGATGCTCAACCGCCGAGCTTCCCAGGTGCCCCGAGGACTAGGGTTTGAATCTTGGCTTTGCCATGAACTGTCTTCCCACAAGTGGTCAAGTATGTTTTTGGTCGTCTCTGAACCTCCTTAGTCCCTCTTTTGAAAGAAGTGAAGTATAAGTAAGTAATTTTGTGAGTAAGTACCCAGCTGGCCCTTCTGTGTTTCTGTGTTCTCCTCTGTATGATGAAGATGGTAACACATTTAGGACATGGGTTGTGAGGATTCATTGATTTTGTTGATGAACAGCACTAAGTAGCCCGTTGTTTTATTTATTTATTTTTTAGCCCGTTGTTTTAGTTATCTATTGCTATATAACAAATTACCCCAAACTTAGCAGCCTAAAAAAAGTTATTATTTACCACCTTCCAGTTTCTGTGAGTTAGGAATTCAGGAGCAGCTTGGCTGAGTGGTTCTTGCTCAGTCTTACGAAGTTATAAGCAAGCTATTGACTGAGTTTATGGCCATCTGAAGGGTTGGCTGAGGCTTGAAGATTGGCCTCCAGGATGGCCCACTCACTCAGCTGTTGGCAAAGCCTCAAGTTGGCTGTTTGCAAAGCCTCAAGTCCCCACCTCCCAGCATGGCCGCTTGAGTGTCCTCACAAAATGGTGGCTGGCCATCTTGCATCTTGCGGAATGCGTGATGCAAGAGAGATCAGGTTGGAGCTGTAATTTATTTGTTAGAAGCCAGTCACTAGGGCAGCCCGGGTGGCTCAGCGGTTTAGCACCACCTTCAGCCCAGGGCATGATCCTGGAGACCTGGGATCGAGTCCCACATTGGGCTCCCTGCATGGAGCCTGCTTCTCCCTCTGCCTGTGTCTCTGCCTCTCTCTTTCTCTGTGTCTCTCATGAATAAATAAAATCTTAAAAAAAAAAGAAGAAGAAGAAGAAGAAGGAGCCAGTCACTAAATCCTGCCCACACTCAAGGGGAGAAGAATTAGGATCTACTTTTTGAAGGGGTTGTCAGAGAATTTGTGGACATATTTTATTTCATTTTTAAAAAGATTTTTAGAGGGTAGCCTGGGTGGCTCAGCAGTTTAGCTCCTGCCTTCGCTTGGGGCGTGATCCTGGAGTCCTGGGATCGAGTCCCACATTGGGCTCCCTGCATGGAGCCTGCTTCTCCCTCTGCCTGTGTCTCTGCCTCTCTCTCTCTTATTCACTCTCTCTCTCTTTATTCACTCATGAATAAATAAATTTTTAAAAAAATCTTTAAAAAATAATTTTTTTAAATTAAAAAATAAAAAGATTTTTATTTCTTAGAGAGCAAAAGAGAAAGAGAGAGAGAGAGCACAAGCAGTGGGGAGGAGCAGAAGCAGAATCTCCACTGAGTAGGGATCCCTATGCAGGGCTTGATCATGACCTGAGCCGAAGGCAGACACCCAAATGACTGAGCCACTGAGGTGCCCTGTGGTCATTTTTTTTTTCCTGTGGACATATTTTAAAACCAAGCCATGAAGCACCATGAAAAAGTTAATAAACATTGCTTGTGATAGTTATAACTCCTTGTGTACTATTGACCATTCTAAATGCATCCTCTTTGTCACAATCAAGGAAGGCTGTTGTCTCTCAGATCCTTCGTGCCTCTTGGATTCCATTGTGTCTGTTAATTGGCTGACAGATAATTCACAGGCAGTCTTTTCTGTCCAGCTAGGCTGTAGGCTCCCTGCGGTCTCTGGCCTGTCTCAGACTTCTGCTGTATCCTGGCACAGGGAAGTTTTTATGTAGTGATGTCTATTTCCAACTGTGAGAGTATGATTCCAGAATTGTGCGTAGAAGTGGTAGGGTGATGCAGAGGAGTTGGCATGTTGTAAAGGTGATGAACTTAGTTTTGGATTTATCTAGTTTGAGGTACTTAAAAGGTGATTAAATGGAGCCACTCAAAGGGCTGTTGAAATCTGAACTCTGAAGGAAGCAAGGAAAACTGAAGAGTATCATCTGCAAAGAGGTAACCACTGAAGTGGTACAAAGAATGAACTTGCCAAGGAAAAAAATGAAGGAACAGAGAAGGGGAAGAGCAGAGCCTTGGGATTGGGGGAAGAAGAGAAAGCAGTGAGCTGGGTGACAGGAGGAAGCAGAGTCGTGGAAACCAAGCAGAAGATGATTCCAGAAAGGTGATCTGACTTTGCAAAGAGGACTGAAAGAGTAAGGGTTAACAAGAGGCCGCCGACAGCCTTCCAGGATGTGGTTTGAGAGGGAGAGGCAGTTGGGGGTCATAGACAGATTTTAAGAGGTTGAGGGATGCATGGATTGTGAAGAAGAAAACATCGTGTCTCTTGGGGTGTTTCAAGTGAAGAGGGAGAGTAGAGTCACTTAATACAGCAGAGTTGAGTGGCAGTTCATCTTAGGTCGGATGACCCTCAGGGGAAAGCCATTGGAAAGGGAGAGCCTGAGATGCCAAAGAGAAAAGTTTGTTCGGGTTGAGTTTCATGGACAGGAGATGGAGGAGAAATGAAGGGCACATTAGCAGGGGGTTGGCTTGGTGAGAAGGGCAAGGGAGCTTGCCAACTCTACCTGTGATCAGGATCCAGGCCAGATGGAGAGGACGGGGAGGGCTGGGGAGAGAGAAGAGTTTGAAAGAAGCCCCCAGGGAGCACAGGAAAGCTCAACAAGATCCACCAGAGGCTTCCAAAGCAGCCTTGAGACTAGTCCCAGCCTTGGGACTAGCAGTGGGAATGTATGGTGGATATCACCTGTAGAATCTTGTGACTTTTGTCTAGGGGCAGGACGTGAAAAGAAGAAAGTGGTCTGTATCAGTTTTCGCAGGTTGGGGGTTTGCCCAAGGCTCTTGTAAGGCCCAGGAAATTGAAAGTTCAGTTCTGTCTTTAATAGTGGGTGGTAGGTAAGCTGTCAGTGGGTGGCAGACAGGTGTGCACAGCACACCTGCACAGGATGCCCTCGGGGATATGAGCACCTGATGTGAGAACAGACATTTCTAATTTATGCAAAGGCGCTGCCCACTCACCAAGCTCTGCACCAACGGGCCCAGTGCCCGAAGGAACGTGTGCAAAGGGGCCACATAGGCCAGCTTTGGCCTAGTGTACAGGTTCAAAGACTGGAATTAGGGCCGAGGAGAATAGAGGGGTTAGATTTGAGAATGCGAGCAGAGGGCTGGTCCCATGGGTGCGAGAGTGGGGGATGGGGTGGGGGGGCTGTATGTCTGAGAAGGGTAGTTCAGGTATTAAAGCCATGAAGGGAAACCAGTTTGAACGATTCGATCCAAGGTGAGGCCATGCTGCTGAGCATCTGAGATGAGTACAGGCAAGGACCCTTGTCAAACCGAAGCAACAATTTCATAGAACAGACGAGACTGCCTAGAATAATAAGGGACTGGCATCTGGCGACGGATGACTCAGGCTGCGGTGAAACTTCTAGTATTGGCAACAGCCATTCCGTACAATCAACAAATATTTACTGGCTCCAAGCTCTGTGCCTCTAGATGCTTGGATATAGCGGGGAACCACACAGATTGCTATCCTGGAGCGTTAGCACTTGCCCTTAGATTTACATGTTCTAATGATAAAGATGTAACTGTATGCCTTACTGGGGTAACCTGACTGGAAATACAGGGGTTTTTTTTAAATATATTTTTTAACGATTTTATTTATTTATTCTTGAGACAGAGAGAGAGAGAGGCAGGCAGAGGGAGAAGCAGGCTCCACGCAGGGAGCCCGATGTGGACTCGATCCCGGGTCTCCAGGATCACGCCCTGGGCTGAAGGCGGTGCTAAACCGCTGAGGCACCCAGGCTGCCCAAATACAGGTTTTTATAACCGGGTTTTACTGTACTTGGCTCACTGATACCCACGCTGAGAGAACCTTCCACACCTCTGTTACCCTGGGTGCCAAAAGCAGCACATTGACTTGGGCTTTACCTTCAGGTACCTGGTTTCCCTAAAAGTAACAATACAGAGGATATGGTTAAATGCTAGAAAGAAAGAGAGAGGGAGAGAGATGGGAAGGGAAGGGAAGGGAAGGGAAGGGAAGGGAAGGGAAGGGAAGGGAAGGGAAAGGAAAGGAAAGGAAAGGAAAGGAAGGAAGGAAGGGAAGGAAGGAAGGAAGGAAGGAAGGAAGGGAAGGAAGGAAAGAAAGAAAGAAAGAAAGAAAGAAAGAAAGAAAGAAAGAAAGAAAGAAAGAAAGAAAGAAAGAGAGAGAAAGAAAGAAAGAAGAAAAAGAAAGGCAGGCAGGCAGTCTCGACTATCCTCGTTTTGGAAGCACGAAAAGATAAGAATAGAGTGGGCTGACTGCACTGCAATACACTGGGCTGGGACTGGGAGGGATGGGGAGCCCTGGGAGCCAAAGCCAAGCTCTGGGGCAGGAAGGGCCCGAGGCCTGTGGAGGGGAGGCTGTGGGGAGAAGCAAGCAGATGCCTGACAATGACTTCTGTTGGTCCAGGTTCCCGTGACGTTTGTCGACATTGCTGTTTACTTCTCTGAGGATGAGTGGAAGAACTTGGATGAATGGCAGAAGGAGCTTTACAACAACCTTGTGAAGGAGAACTATAAAACCCTGATGTCCCTGGGTAAGAGTGCCTTTCCTCCTCTGGGATGGGCAGTTTTTGCAGAGGGCAGTGAAATGCTTATCAACCCGCGTGCCCACCACCCGGGCAGAGTGTCATATTTATCCCTAATGGAAACACAAGAAACTGTTTGCTTCCAGTGCTCTAAAGATAGAATGATTCGAACAAGGTGATAGATAAAAACCCAGTAACGGGCCTGTCATTATAGCATTGAGGGCTGTGCTGCTTATGTTCTGGAGCACGGCCACTCTGCGTCATTGGCACGGGACTACGTGCGACATCCCGCTAGCCTTGGATGAGCCACAGTCTGTCGTTGGCTTTCAGGGTCCAGCTGTTTCCACACCAGAAGTTGGGTATCTTGTTTTCAGGGTTCCTCCAAAGAGATCAGCTGACATATATCATGGTTCGCAACTAGAGGGGCTCTGCTGGGGAGGGCCGGTGGGGTGGGGGAGACTTCTGCTGCTACCCTTGATCGGGATCCATTGCTCAACCTCACTGTGTCCTTCCTTCCCCTCCAACTCATTGCAGACCCTGAGGGTGCAGGGCCCAAGCCAGATGCTCCTTCCCAGGTTGAGCCCAGGGAAGAGCCTTGCGTGTGGGAGCAGCGTGACCCAGAAGAGAGAGAAATCCTAATGGACCCAGACGCAGGTGATGGCAGTTGAAAAGAGCCCCGGGGCTGGGGGCTGGGCAGGAGAGGAGCCTTGCCATCCCTGCATGAGATCGAGAGGGGTCTGTCGGGTTGTTTGTGAGGCTGGTTCTGCCCAGAAGTGCCCTGGGCGTGTGTATCTATTGGGTCAGAACCAGGCAACAGCTCTGGAGGCCCAGGTGAGCTGGACAGAGAGGAGGGGAGGAGCAGGCTTGTAGCCTCTCGGGCCTGAGCTCAGCCTGCAGTGGGGGCTGAAGACCTGGGAGTGGCCCGGGCCCGGCCCCAGGAGGGTGGATGGGCAGTGGGGCCTGCCTGGATACTTGGTTCTGCTGGGGCCACGTCACAGACAGACTCACCCTTGGGCCTTTCTCAAGAAGGGGACATTCAGTCCCCGAGGAGACCTAGTTCCTGACAGCACTGCACCTGGTCAGCTCTCACTGGGATGGAAAGTGCCAGGCTCTAGTCCCGGCAGGGCCCTGGACACCTTTCCCCAGGGCCTCAGCTCTCCTGAGTCATGCTGCCCTGTGAACAGCTGAGCCTGAGCCATGTTCTCTGCCATACTGTACAAACTCTGCTCTTCCTTAGAAGGTTGTCCAGAGGCGGCCCCCTCCTTTCCAGTGTTTTTTCTTCATTGGGATGTAATTCATGTGCCATAAATAAAGTCACCCTTTTAAAGTGTATAATTCAGTGGTTCACAAAGGTGTGCAACCACCCCTATAATCTAGTTCCAGAACATCTTCATCACAGGAAACCCTGGGCCCATGAGCAGGCACTCCCACGCCCCACCCCCCGGTCCCCATTGATGGACTCTCTCTACTGTGTATTTGCCTGTTGTGGACGATTCATCTGAACGACCCCTTCCTGGTCTTCAAGCACCACAGGTGCTGAGGTCAGTGCTGTGGCGGCCTTTCACGTGTGAAGCCCTCAGCAATTTCACCTTGTTGTCATCCATCCCCGTGCATGAGCTGGGACAGTGACCGCTGTGTCCGTGCTATGGGAGGAATGAGCAGGCTGAGAGCCAGAGGGGCCGGATGACTCACCTGCTGGGCTGAGAACAGAGTGGAAACCAGGATCCAAGTCCTTCGGTTCCTTCTCTAATCATCCCCCTGCCACCTGAGCTTCCCACTGCCAGGGCTAGTGCATCGCACCATGGAACCTCAGAAGGGTACACCAATTTGTCACAGCTTGGGATCCCAGAGAGGATATGTCACTGTCTCGTGTGCATAAGGATGCTGTGCGTTATCCACCCAGAATGGGCCAGTTGGAAAGCTTGTTCATAATATGTGGTGTGTGTGTGTATGTGTGCACGTGTGTGTCTGCTGTGTCTGTCTGTATGTGTGTATTTCTTTCTGACTGGGGTGAAAAATGAAAATGAACGTCTTGTACACAGAGATCAAACTTCTGGCCTAGTCCTGATTAGCCCCAAACCCAGGTGGGGCAGTTTCTGGAGCTCTCTCCCAGCCTTATTACACTTCATCCTGCTGCTTGAGTTACCCCTTTGTCCTGAATTCTGATTATATCTCTGCTCCCAGGACCTTCTGCCTCTTAGGGGTGACCCCCTGCCAAGAACCCAAGGCCCCTGTGCTGACAGGTGCTGTCAGCTGCGTTCATCACCCAAAGAACATCTGGGTGAGGATTGATTGTTCAGAAAAAAAACACCAAATGGCCATACTTCTCTCTCCCCAGAAGCAGAGCCCCTGGTGCCTGCACAGGATTCGTCCTCTCAGGTGAAGCGAGAGGAAGCCCTGTGTGTCCGGAATCAGCGAAGCTTGGAGGAAAGAACCATCCCCACGGAGTCCATTACTGGTGAGTGAGCCCCAGAGCTGCCCCAGCCAGGGACAGAGAGGAAAGGTCCAGCATGGCCTAAGGCCCATGCTGATATCCACGGACCAGCACTGAAAATGGCATTAATGATTTGCCACACATCTGGGTGTAGCTTGTCTTGTTTCCTCTCTTTTTTTAAATCCATTCTTAACTATTCCTTCTTTCCCTTGAAAAGGAGCATCAGGGCAGAGGTACTAAGTGTAAAGAAACCTCATGATGAGAGGCTATGGTCAGGGAATAAATATATCAGTCCACAGGACCTGCTCCTGAGCAGGAAGAGCTTTCATTGTTCTCAACAAGTATTCACAGGCTTGCCTCTGTGCTGGGGAGGGGAGGGTCCGGGGGGCTCCTCCTTGAAGGCCCTGTCGCTGGACTCTGTGTGTGAGAACCCTCTTAGAGCATTAGGGTTCTCCAGAGAACCCATAGGGTGTGTGTATGTGCCCACGTGTGGAGAGACACAGACAGACTGGTTTTAAGGAACTGGCTTCAGTGGTTGTAGACGCTGGTGTGTCCAGGATCTGCAGGGTAGGCCAGCAGCCTGGAGACCCAGGAATCTTCTGGCTGGTTTTCCTCTGCCTTGGGGGTGGTCTGTCTTTTTCTATGGAAGCCTTCACCTGTTGGGCTGAGGCCCATCTGCATTATGGAAGGCAAGGGCTACCAATTAATTTTTTTATATATATATTTTATAAGATTTTATTTATTCATGAGAGACACACAGAGAGGCAGAGACATAGGCAGAGGGAGAAGCAAGAACCCTGCAGGGAGCTCAATGCAGAACTTGATCCCAGGACCCCGGGATCATGACCTGAGCCAAAGGCTGATGCTCAACTACTGAGCCACCCAGGTGTCCCAGGGCTACCTATTTAAATATTAATCTTCTCAGGCATCCAAGGTGGCACAGCAGTTTGGCACCTGCCTTCAGCCCAGGGTGTGATACTGGAGACCCAGGATCGAGTCCCATGTTGAGCTCCCTGCATGGAGCCTGCTTCTCCCTCTGCCTGTGTCTCTGCCTCTGTCTCTGTGTCTCTCATGAATAAATAAATAAAATCTTAAAAAAAAAAAAAAAACATTGGGGGATCCCTGGGTGGCTCAGCAGTTTGGCGCCTGCCTTTGGCCCAGGGTGCGATCCGGGAGTCCCAGGATCGAGTCACATGTCAGGCTCGTGACATGGAGCCTGCTTCTTCCTCTGCCTGTATCTCTGCCTCTCTCTCTCTCTCTCTCTATGTCTATTGTGAATAAATAAATAAAATCTTTCAAAATAAATTAAATAAATAAATGAATGAATGAATGAATGAATGAATAAATGAATGAATAAATAAATAAATAAATAAATAAATAAATAAATAAATAAATAAATAAATAAAATTAATCTTCTCTTGAAAAAAAAAAATCCTGGGGGATCCCTGGGTGGCTCAGCGGTTTGACGCCTGCCTTTGGCCCAGGGCACGGTCCTGGAGTCTCAGGATCGAGTCCCGCATCAGGCTCCCAGCATGGAGCCTGCTTCTCCCTCAGCCTGTGTCTCTGCCCCTCTCTCTGTGTCTGTGTCTAAAATAAATAAATAAATAAATAAATGAATGAATGAATAAATAAATAAATAAATAAATAATCTTTAAGAAAAAAATCCTTTTACAGAAACATCTAGAATAATGTCTGGGCAAATATATAGGTACTGTGGCCTGGCTGTCACAAAATTACCCCTCACCAGATCTAGTAATATACTTATCTACAGCTTGGAGCTCCCCAAATCTTAGCCCTCCTTAGTCAGAGCCTCACCACCCTGGTAAGTGATAGTAGCATCTGACCAGGGAAAAGCCGCTCCCTGTCCATCAGGTGTGCTCTGGACAGTGGCACAATATAACTGTCTTCAAAGAAATCTGTAAGAAATAAGAAGGCAATCAAGTTAAATGAGGTTTAATAGACCACAGAAGAAAGAAGATGTAGCACACATCTTAGAAAAATCCCAGTAAGAGGCTCCTGGGAGGCACTGTCAGTGAAGTGACTGACTCTTGGTTTTGGCCCAGGTCACGATCTCAGGGTTGTGAGATCGAGCCCTGTGTGGGGTTCCCGTGCTCAACAGGAAATCTGCTTAAGAGTCTCCCTCTCCACCCTCCCTTTTTTCACATGCTCTCTCTAAATAAATAAATCTAAAAAAAAAAAAAAAAAACCTAAAAATCCCAATAAAATGGTGGATTTCAGTGGCTTCATGGAAGGCATCGTGTCCTGGAAAATCCCCGCAGAAGGACTATCTCTGTCAGTAGTGGTGCTCTATACTCAAGCTGAGTTTCACTCTAAAGACTGAAGTGCCTGTAGCACAGACCCTCTTAGGGGCGCCTGGATGGCTCAGTCAGCTAAGCATCTGCCTTCAACTTGGTTTGTGATCTCAGGGTCCTGAGGCCCTTCAGGTGCCTTTGCTCAGAGGCGAGTCAGCTTCTCCCACTATTCCTCCCCCCTAGCTCGTGTTCTCTCTCTCTCATGCTCTCTCTCAAACAAATAAATAAAATCTTAAAAAAAAATAGAAAGGAAAAGAAAGACTCTCTTGAAGTGTCACCATGAGTGACACTCCCCTATAGTACACACTTATTTACAGCAAAAACTCCATTAGTGGGGGCCCAGCCAACTTAAACATTTAATTAATTAGCATAATTTAGTTATTCCTGAATTTTAGGGAAAAGAAAGAATAGTAGGAAGTGAGAGATTTACTCAGAGCACAAACTTGCAGGCATTTTGTGTCCCTTGACACTGTCATTGCTCTGTTCCCACAAGCAGACTCACCAGCCTCTGCCCAGGACCTCTTGTCCCGAATTAAACAGGAGGAGCACCCATGTGTATGGGATCAGCAGGATCTGGCAGAGAGAGATATTCCAACGGACCCCAATTCAGGTGAGCAAGTTACCAGGATGAATGTCAAGGACAAGGACCCTTATTGGGTTGTATAATTGCTGGGAAATCAATCTGGTCACTTTTGGTTAAAGGCTAATGAAAGGCTCAGAGAATAAACTAGTGTGTTCCTTAACAACATCATACAGATTTGCAGTCTAACCATTTGTAAAGTACAGAGGACTTTTCTAAGAGAATCATTAAATTGATAATTTATTGTGTCAATAACTGATACTAAAATTATTTGAGCAATGACAGTTTTTGAACAAGAACTATAACGAGAAAGGCTTTTAAAAGTTCTGTATATTTCTGTGACAGAAAGAAAGGAATTTACATTTTCTGCAATTTTTCGTGGGTGAAGACTAGATAAATATCTTCCAAGAAACTTCTGGGTAGGGTCCAGACGTATGAAACAAAAGAGAAGCTCCATCCGTCTGGGGCCTGCACACATGTGTGTGCCTGGGTGTGTGTGTGTGTGCGCACATGTGCAAGGTGCACGTGTGTGTGTGTGTGTGTGTGTGTGTGTGTGTGTTCACATGTGCTTGCAGTGCTGGCAAAGTCCAGCGTCCTCCCATTTGGTTATTATGACCCCAGAGTCTCATCCTACTCTGCATACCAGAAAGAGAAGAGCAGACATAAAAATCTAACATTCCTTCTTGTTTCAACCCTGGAGAAATTGAAGGGATCCAGGCCAGGGGGGAAGGCCGACCCTTCCGATAAAGAGTCAGCAGTCTGTACTACGGTTCTTGCGAGACCTTTGTTTACCGCTTCTGCCACTGCTGGTTCTTAAGTCCTACTACTCATCCCTTGGTCCCTTGGGCTGTCAGACACCAGGCTTCCCTCTGGGGTCTGGGGCTCAGTGGACAGAGCTGGAAGACGCAGGATCTGATCTTGGTTCTGTGTCTGCACAAACTTTGGGTGTCGAGCCTCCTCCTCCCTGGCCAACTCCAGAGGAAGCGAACACAAGTGAGCCTGAGGGGACTTGGGTTGGTGAGGATGGCCAGTAATGAAACAAAGAGACCACTGCTGCCGTGTGCTGTATAAGCACGAGCCATGGCCTTTGCATGTGATGGTTTTCTAACCTTTGATGGCAGGCTTGGTGGAAATGAACAGCATCTAAGACTGCCTTCTTTCTGTGAACAGAGTCTCTGATTTCAGCACATGACATTTTGTCATGGATCAAGCAGGAGGAGCAGCCATACCCATGGGGCCCACGAGACTCAATGGAAGGAGAGCTCGGATTAGATTCTGGCCCCAGTGAGTAATGCACCCCCTGGGGCCCCTGGGTTTTTCGTCCATGGTGATGATTGCTTGCCTCAGCCACCCTTCCCACCCCCCACCCCCATAGGGTGATGTTCTGTTGTGGCAGCCTTCACCCGTCTGTATCAAAGCACTATCCCCTTCTCTTTTGCGGGGGTAGCAGGTGTTTGTTTCCTTGTGCTGTCTTAAGAGTAGCCCACAGTGGGTGGCTTAAAACAACAGAAATGAATTGTCTCTTGGTTCTGGAGACCAGCAGTACAAAAAATAAGGGGTTGGCAGGGGTGTGCCCTCTCTGCAAGCTGTAGGGGAACCCTTTCTTGCCTATTCCTAGCTTCTAGGGTTTGTGGCAATGGTTAGTGTTCCTTGGCTTGTAGGTGCATTGCTCCATCTCTGCTTTTGTCTCCCATGGCCTTCTGCCTGCATATCTCTGGCTTCACCTGTGTCTTCCTTGTGTGTGTGTGTGTGTGTGTGTGTGTGTGTGTGTGTGTGTTCCTTTAGAGACATAAGTCAGAATCAGGGCCCACCCTCATCCAATATGACCTCATCTGAACTTAGATCTTGGAAGAGCCTATTTCCAAATAAGGTCACTTTCTGCAATACTGGGGGTCTGGATTTCAACATATCTTTCAGGGGGAGTGTAGTTCAGCTGGGAGAGAGCTGAAACACAGGTGCCTGAGCAGGAATCGATGGCGGCAGGTGGCTCACATACCAGAAAACACTGGCCAGAATCCCAAGCCAGCCCTGAGCTGACACAGTAATTGGTGAAGATACTGATGCTCCAATAGGGAGAAGGGATTTTTTTTTTTCCCTCCACAACAGGTATGGGACAGAACGTCTGACTTGGGTCTCCTGCGTCTTTTTTGAAGTTCCACTTATTGGCCAGTGACCTTAGACACATGTTCGTAGGTTATTAAACACTCAGCATCTGGCTGGCATTCCTTGCCAGACCCAGTACCATCTCCTTGCTCTCAAGACGGCTGACTTAGTGTCTGCTGATGAGTTTTGAGGAGCACCTAGACAGTACGTTCCTTGTCCACACTCCTGGGACCCTCCAGGAGCTTAAAATCCAGGTGACAGCTGAGGACATAGATTATTTCTAATCTGGAAGGCCATTAAATACTCAAGTAAGGGGAAGCCTGGATGGCTTAGTAGTTGAGCATCTGTCTTTGGCTCAGGTCGTGATCCCGCGATCCCGGGATCGAGTCCTGCATCAGGCTCCCTGCATGGAGCCTACATCTCCCTCTGCCTGTGTCTTTGCCTCTGTCTGTGTCTCTCATGAATAAATAAATAAAATCTTTTTAAAAAATAAAAATAAAAGTCAGGTAAGTGGATCCCACTGTCTGAGACAGATTTCGTCCAGTCTAGAAGGACTACCTGGGGCTGGAGGAATGGGGAGGGAGTAGGAGAGGACCAGTGTATGCCCTTGTTTCAAATAGAACTTAAAGTGGTCCTCTTCTGACCTGCTCCTGGGGTGGGTTAGGACAGGGCAAGCCAGGGCACCACCTGTGAGGACAGGAAAAAGTGACAGCCATTTCCACTTCATTCTTGATGGCACTCAGGCCACTATTTCTAACCTTGATAGGTACTAGTTCATCAACTCTTGTGCCAGGTATTCTGCCCAGACCTTTGTCCCTCGGTGCTACTGTCTGATTTTCCATGTTGTCTAGGAGTACTTGGGCGGGGATGAGCCTTTCCCTGGAGGCCTGTGTGGTTGTGGGAACGGGTCTAGTGAAGTCTGTACGAAGGTCGCAAGGTTTTGCGAATGACCGTACCATCTTACCTCCTCATTTGGGATATGCTGAGTCATAGAACGATTTGCTTCATGTTGTTTTTTCTCTGGGAGGCCTTCAACCTTAGCATTTGGGAAGCTGTGCCCAGAGTCTGGGGAGATAGGAGCATCTGGAAATGCTCCTACTGGCCCAGTCACCAGAGCCCCTTGTCTTTCTCCCAAAGTGGGCCTGCCTTCTGCTTGTTAGTGTTGAAATTTGTATCTCACCTGTGATTTCGTTGAGGCTTAAAGACATGATTCTCATGTCTCTGGAGAGCATTTGGAAGGGGAGAGGGTAGTGGGAGTAGAGCGTAAAACAGAACTATAGGGTAGGGTATCTATCTGTGCCATACTCCTCCCCCAGCCCTGGGGGTAGGCATGAAAGACCTGATGTCCTGTTTGACATTAGCCCAACTGGATATTACATTTTAGTCAAAGGGATTCCTCAGTTAGATATTAAAGACTCTGGGTTTTTTGTTTTTTTTTTTTTTAAGATTTTATTTATTTGAGAGAGCGAGAGAGCATGAGCAGGGGGAGGGGCAGAGGGAGAGGGAGAAGCAGACTCCCCGCTGAGCAGGGAGCCTGATGCAGGGCTCCATCCCAGGACCCCGAGATCATGACCTGAGCCAAAGGCAGACGTTTAACCTCTTGAGCCACCCAGGCGCCACTTGTTTCTGTCATTTAATAAATATTTACTTAGTGCCTACTCTGTGCTATGCAGTATTACAAGAACTTGGGAAAAGCAGCAAAGAAGAACCAGGGACCTTTCCTTATGTGGAAATGTGATGGAGCGTAAGCAAGTCAACAAGCAAACAAGATAAAGTCAGGGACAGTCCATGCCCTGACTTGGGGAAAGGAGAAGGGTGGAAGTGGCCACAGGAGGGCTATGGTAGGAAAGGCCTCCCTGGGGAGGAAAACACTTGAGTGTGTCCTAGACAGTGAGAAGGAGCTGATTTTGGAGATGTCAGGGAAGGGAAGAGTAGGGGCAGAGGCCTTGAGGCTTTGGGGGATGAGGGTGGAGGATCCTCAGCCCACATGACCTATGGGACAAGGTAGAGTTTGGATTTCATTCTAGAAAAGCTGACCAAGAAAGGATTTAAAGCAGGTTAGTGACATGATCTGGTTACTTTTTTTTTTTTTTTTTTTTTTTTGAGAGAGAGAGAGAGAGAGAGAGCAAGAGCACTTGTACTTGCTACTGGGTGGGGGAAGTAGAGGGAGAGGGGGAGAAAGAATTTTAAGCAGGCTCCCCGCCCATCACGGAGCCTAAAGCAGGGCTCACAACCCTGAAATCATGACCTGATCCAAAATCAAGACTTAGACGCTTAACCAACTGAGCCATCCAGGTGCCCCCTAGTTTAACATTTTGAAAAGATAAGTTCAGGAATGGAATGGAGTGGGGTGGGGACCATGAGCCGGAAGCAGGGAAGCCATTTAGGAAGCTACCATAGTTGGTACAGACCAGGTGAAAGGAGGACAGTCAGGCAGAGTTGGGATGGTCACAGTGCCCGGGGAGAGAAGGGGACAGATTCAGGACGGACTCTGGACATGTAGCTGAGGGATAGTGTGATGGGCAAGTGGTCAAGAGTGACACCTAGGCTCTCCTGAAGAACCAGAAGAGCCATGGTGCCCTTTACTGGAAATGCTGAGTCCTGGGAAAGAACCAGTTTACTGTGTAAACCAAGTGCTCTCCTTTGGTCCTGTTAGATCTGAGATGGCGTCCACGTGGGCAGATGAACAAAGAGCCTGAGGTTCAAGAGAGAGCTCGGGGCTGGGTTAATGTGGGAGCTTAATTTATGACGACTCCTAACAGCAACTACGTGGAATTAGACCGAACTTCACAGGTGAAGGGCCCTCCTCCACCAGACTGCCCTCACTTCAGACACCAGCTGCAAGTTCGCAGGTCTCCTGCCCACTCATTTGTAACCAGCTGGTTACAAATCCAGGGGTTTCCACTAATCCCTGGGGTTCAGCTGTCCACTAGAAGAGCTCACGGGGCTCAGGAAAGCATCTATACTTATAATTAGTTTTATCAGAGCAAAAGGATTCAAATCAGAAATAGCCAAAAGGAGAGTTCCATGGGACCAATTCTGGAAGAGTCCTAACCATGAAACTTCGGTTGTCTGCTCCCTGTGGGATCAGAAGTGTCAGACTGTGCCTGGACAGTGATGTGTGACAATTCGCAGAGTGTTGCCCACCAAGGGAAGCTCAGCCAAGCTTCTGTCTGTGTCCAGAGCTTTTACTGGAGTTTCTTTACATACTTATGATTGCTTGAACCTACTGACCATGAGGTGGAACTCCCCCTCTTGGCCTGTCCCTTCTCCAGAGTTTGGGCCCAAAGCCCCAACCCTCTAATCATGTGGATGGTGTTTCTGGCACACTCAGCTCCCTTCCGGAGTCCTCTTGTTAGCTTAAACTGTTGAAGCAAGGACCATGAATTACCTCATCAGCATAAACCTCAGAGCCTACCATGAATAACAAAGACACTCCTATCGCCCTGGAAATTCCCCCAGGATGTAGAGGCTACAGCCTAGGAACCGAGGACAACCACCTGCTCCCTTATTACACATAGGCTGTTTTAAGGCTGGTCTGTTATTACACAGATCTCACTCTGAGATCTAGGGGCAAGATCTTTGTCTAAAGAATGAAAGAGGGCAGCCCCAGTGGCTCAGCGGTTTAGCACCGCCTTCAGCCCAATGCCTGATCCTGGAGACCCAGGATCAAGTCTCACGTCAAGACTCCCTGCGTGGAGCCTGCTTCTCCCTCTGCCTGTGTCTCTGTCTCTGTCTCTCTCTCTCTCATGCATAAATAAAATCTTAAAAAAAAAAAAAAATGAAAGAGGCCTGGGTGTGAGCCTGGAGGAAATCCAGAGGAGCACAGCTTCACTGAAGCAAAGGGAAGAGACTCTCAAGAGAGGAGGGGTCAGCTATATCAAAGACAATGAGGGATTGGATGTGCAGGACAAGGCAGAGGCTTGTTGATGACCTAGACAAAAGGTGTTTCGGTGGTGTGCTGGGACTCCTGCCTGATGTCCGAGTTTGAAAGCAAACGGGAAAACCCAGGATAGAGAATTCCTCCAGAATATTGGTATGAAAGGAACAGAGAGGAGTGTTGGGGTACCTGGAGCCTGGGAGCACTTGGGGCCGAAAAGAGTGTTCTCTTAAGTTGGGGGGTAAGTAGACCACTGTGTCTGGTAGGCTCCTCTCCACTGCTTTAGAACCCTGATTCAGGGCCCCCTGGGTGGCTCGGTTGTTTACGTGTCTGCCTTTGGCTCAAGTCATGATCCTGGGGTCCTGGGATCCAAACCCCTGTCCAGCTCCTTGCTCAGTGGGGAGTCTGCTTCTCCCTCTCCCTTTGCCCCTCCCCCTGCTTGGGCTCCATCACAAGCTTGCTTCTCTCCCTGTCAAATTAATAAAATCTGTAAAAAAAAAAAAAAAAAAACACACAACACAACCCTGATTCAGACTGCCTTGAGGAACAAAGACATTCATTTACGTAACAGAGGCAGTTGATTCACCCTCTGTAGATTTCAGGAGGAGGCTACTTATCCAGGCCCCAGGTTCTTTGCAGCTCTCAGCTCAGCTTTGCTGTGGCTGATCTAAGCAGTCACATCCAGACTAGAGGGAAGGGAAAAACCATCCTCTTCCCTGCTGGAAACTCCCAGAAGCCTCCTGTGTCATCAGCCAGACTGAGGTCATATGCTTATGTCTGAATCTGTGAGGTCTGTAGTAGAAGTCCTCACGTCGGAGGCTGGAGGAGAATGATGACATTCTTGCAGACGATGGAAAAGTAGGGACATTGAGGAGTGTGGTAGGGGTGCCAGGCTGTGGGGGCGGGGGGTTGAGATACATGCAGTTTTCTTCAGCTGTCCTCAGCTACTTGAGTACAGTTGGGCAAGCAGGGCAGAGACAGGAGCAGAGGCATAAAGGGTGTTTCATGGCTGATGACCCCAGGGCTGACCACAGGAGCCAGGCTGGGTCAGTAAGGGAGAACAAACAAAGGGTAAGGAAAGCAGATCCGATGTGCACACTGAGTTTGCAGAGTTATCAGTAGGATTAGGACAGTTTTGGGGCACCTGGGTGGCTCAGTGATTGAGCGTTTGCCTTTGGCTCAAGTCGTGAACCTACGATCCTGGGATGGAGTCCCCACATCAGGCTCCCCACAGGGAGTCTGCTTCTCCCTCTGCCTATGTCTGCCTCTCTCTGTGTCTCTCATGAATAAATAACATCTTTATTTTTTTAAGATTTTATTTATTTATTCATGAGAGACACACAGAGAGAGGCAGAGGCACAGACAGAGGGAGAAGCAGGCTCCTTGCAGGGAGCCTAATGTGGGACTCGATGCCGGATTCTAGAATCATGTCTTGAGCCAAAGGCAGAAGCTCAACCACTGAGCCACCCAGGCATCCCTAAATAACATCTAAAAGAAAGGAAGGAAGGAAGGAAGGAAAAGAAAGAAAGAAAGAAAGAAAGAAAGAAAGAAAGAAAGAAAGAAAGAAAGAAAGAAAGAAAGAAAGAGAGAAAGAAAGAAAAGAAAAGAAAAGAAAGAATTGGGACAGTTTCAGGCCAGGTTTCCTGGGAAACAGCCCCTGGGGTAGAGGCTCCTGTGCATGTGATGTTTCCTTGGGGTTCTGAGAATAACAGCTATGAAGGGATGAGAGCAACAGATTGGGTAGAGGGAGCAACAGGGCCCACCAGCAGTCCCCCAGGATTGAAGGCCTGGCACCCTGGGTTGAGGCCTGAGAACCACTTTATACTGGGCTGCTGGCCAGTGTCCTGTGGAGATGGCTCTCAGCCTGCTCAGTGTTCATAGGGAGGGAGAGGGCAGCCTGGGGTGCTTTGGGGTGTCATGTAAGGAAGACAGGCCTCAGTCAGACATTGATGAGCATGGGTCAGGTAGAAGGGTGGCAGATGTGAGAAATGGCCACCAGGGAGCAGATGGGACATGCGCAGAGGATGCCAGCAAGAGGTGGGGACAGGGATTCTGTACTGTTCTTCCACTAGCTACCTGCCCTGCAGGGGAGAGGGTGCTCTCACGGGAGAGAGGACTGAGTGGGCCTCTGAGGTGGGGGTGGGGAGGAAGTGACCGAACAAGAAGAGCCCTGAATCCTGTGGGCATACAAACTAGTTCTTCAAGCAGAAGTCTAGAGACTTGGGCCTGGGTGTGCTGCTGTGCTGCTCAGAGCTTGGACCTGAGGGTTCACTGACTGCCAAGGTGGCAGAGCACCCAAGGGTACAAGGAGAAGGCCTCAGCACTTTCTGGGGAGGCTGGCAGGGCAGCTGCTTCCACACAGGACACAGAGAGCCCTGGCTGTGGGGTCAGGGCCCAGGTGGGGTCTGATGCCAGAGTGTGCCAGGGACCATGCTGCTGTTTATGTCTAAAGGCCCTTCACTTATAGGAGACACAACTGAAGATCATAGCATGGTGCTGGTCCCCACTCCCTGCATTTCATTTCTCTAGGCCTCCAGATAGGCTTTCACCTTGGAGAAGTTCTGGTAAATTCTTTCCCCCCAGTCGAGAGAGAGAGAGAGAGAGAGAGAGAGAGAGAGAGAGAGAGACTCTCCTTAGATAAATCAGCATTGAACATTAGAATGCAATTAACTCTTATTATTTCCTGCCAGTTCTGCCTTCCATCGCGGTTTCTGCATACCCCACCCCCACCCCCCAAACCCGCTTCTGCTTTCCGCAGGTATTTCCTCTCCTCACTGCGTGCTACCCCTGCTCAACCCGCATCAGGGGCTTTGGGCAGGTCAGAGGGTCAAGGAGCCCCAGAGCCATAGGGAACATGACCTCTGGCCTTGCTCAATCCCCTCATTTTTTCAGAGAAACTGAGGCGCAGATAGCCCGCAACTGCAACTCGCACGTTGCCACCCAGCAAATCAGGGAAGGACCGGTGGGGAGGGGGTGGGGCGGCGGCGACCATAGCGCTGTCAGCATGTCACTTCTCCGTGTCTTCTCCTCCCCAGGCGACAGCCTGCTGCTAGTGAAGAACCCGCCCCCTGCCCCGCAGCAGCCGCAGCCGCAACCGCAGCCGCAGCCGCCGCCGCCGCCGCCTCCGCAGAGCCTGCCGGTGCTCCCGGCGGCCGAGAACACGGGCGGCGGGGCCCCGGAAGAGGGTTTCCCCGCGCTGGCCGGGGAGCGAGGGGCCGGCGGGTCGCAGGCGGGAGGCGCGTGCAGCGGCGGGGGAGGGGCCGGGGGCGGCGCGGGGGGGCCCGGAGGGGGCGGGGGAGGCTGCGGCAGCTGCTGCCCTGGCGGCCTGCGGCGGAACTTGCTCCTGCACGGCACGCGCAGCAAGCCCTACTCGTGCCCCGAGTGCGGCAAGAGCTTTGGCGTGCGCAAGAGCCTCATCATCCACCACCGCAGCCACACCAAGGAGCGGCCGTACGAGTGCGCCGAGTGCGAGAAGAGCTTCAACTGCCACTCGGGCCTCATCCGCCACCAGATGACGCACCGCGGCGAGCGGCCCTACAAGTGCTCCGAGTGCGAGAAGACCTACAGCCGCAAGGAGCACCTGCAGAACCACCAGCGGCTGCACACGGGCGAGCGGCCCTTCCAGTGCGCGCTCTGCGGCAAGAGCTTCATCCGCAAGCAGAACCTGCTCAAGCACCAGCGCATCCACACGGGCGAGCGGCCCTACACGTGCGGCGAGTGCGGCAAGAGCTTCCGCTACAAGGAGTCGCTCAAGGACCACCTGCGCGTGCACAGCGGCGGCCCGGGGCTCGGCGCCCCTCCTCGGCCGCTCCAGGCACCGCCCGAGCACGACTAGGGCTGGGCTGGGGGAGGGGAGGGCCCGGCGGCAGGAGCCGGGGTGGGGGTTGGACAGAGCGCCCCTGATCCTGCCCGGGCTCTCGGGGCGCCTTCCCTCCCTCGACCTGCCTCCTGTTGGAAATTGGGAAGAGGGATTGCACTCCACACAGGGTCCCCCAAGGGCTGGGCAGGGCCCCCTAGATCTGTCCTGCCTGAATGGACTGGGCCAGTTCATCTCATAGGGGGGACCGGGGGGGGGGGGGCGGGCTGAGCGTCTTCCCTCAGGGAAAGTGCTAGAACATAGTGAGGAGGCAAGAGGCTTCGGGCATCTCCCTCAGACACCTAGCATGCCCGTTTGGCCACTGAGGTCACAGTTTGTGATCAGGGGAAGCAACTAGGGAGTCTCAGAAGCCTTCTGAGATAAATAAGTAAGAGATAATGAGTAAGGAAGCGGAAGTGTGACGGGAAATGAGGGATGAGCTAAGGGGTAACATCTCTGATGACAGCACTGCCTTGCGTTTAAATAGCGCTTTATACTTTTTTAAACGTGTTTTCTATCCGTTATCCGTTTTCACCCTTAGCCTGTCCCTCGAAGGTACGTGGGGTAGGATTGTTCCTACTTGATCACTGAGAAAAGAGCCCCAGGTGGATACTTTACCAGGATCACACAAGAGAGCAGCAGGGCTGGGACCAGGGCTTTCCTGACCCCAGTGCAGTGTCCCCCACCACACACACTGCCTACCTCCCATGTCCCAGAGACTTCTCCGGCCTGGCCTCTCTTGGTCTCTCTCCTGCCTCCTTCCCGAGCCACCAAAACTCAGAAGCAAGGAGGGTTACTGGGGGTGGGGAACCCATCAGCTACACAATGCCCTGGGTTGTGCATCTGAAAGGCTCTTCCTGTGTAGGCTCTTCTGGGCCGCAGGTCCCCTCCCCCAGCCTGTCCTTCCCACCTGAGTCCTTCAATCTGGTGCAGCATCTTTTCACTGCCCAGTAGTGACCCGGCCCTCCAGAGGCAGCTGGTGCCCTGAGTCAGACCTCACTTTGTTGATTTATTCCAGTTTCCCCAGGGCAAAGGGGTGAGGGAGAGGCTCCTGCTGCTGGAGCAGCCATCAAGAAAATGAGTCTCTTCCCAGGAGGGCCGGGCAAGTGGGTGCTAGAGTCTGAGAGTCTCAGTCTCCTGCCCTGGGCCTCCCAACTGGTGCTATCTGTTAACTGACCATGCTCATGGACATGGACACAGACCCTACTCTGCCCCAGACCCTGCAGGCGCCTCGGGAGGCACCCAAAGGACTCCCTTGAGTTGGTGCATCTGCTCCGTGGTCCTGAGGGGCCATAGTCTCCATTTCTGCGTTTTGCATGACCAGGCACTGGGATGGGGTGGTTCCCCCGAAAGACCCTTGTTTGTGTCAAGAATGACTTTTCCTGCTCCCCCCATTGACCCTGCTTCTCTCCCAGTGGGGAGCACAGTGGGCAGCCCACAGCCGGCACCACCTTTGTGAGCATTCTGCTTCCGCCCTTACCCTCATCTGTGCCACTCTGCTTTCCTCAGACCCCTTTTTGCCATGCAAAGGGAATTCTCAAAATTAAATAAAAGGTGTCCAGATTGCAGACTGCATTTTCACAAGGCCAGGGGATTCTGCAGCATGGCTTAATACAGTAAAGCCTTGAACTGGAATCCAACTAACTGGTATTTTTTTTTCCTTCCTTCTGCTTTCTAAGAAGAGATGAGAAGTTAAACAGACAAGTTCAAAGGAGTTTGTTTTAGAACAGAAGGGAACACTCTAGTCCAGTGTTTTGGTTGGGAGGAGGCAATGTTCTGCTTTAAAAAGTACATGCAGAAAATCAGTATTTTCATAATCTAAATCATGGAGAATAAGACCAACTTTTTTTTTTCTCTCTCTTTTTTTTTGGCTGTTGAGAGTGTGAAGAAGGGGAAGAAATCACTTTTGAGACATGGGTTTGGGACACCTGAATATACAGCTGGAGTCCCTCTATTTTAAACTCAAGGAGCTGATTCCCAAAGAGGGTTACTGACTATGCCAGTGAGAGGGGGTGTCTGGTTCCCGCATCCTGGTCTGATGGAAGCCACTGCACCAAGTCTCCCCTCCGTGACACCACAGTCTCCTAGCACTGGCCTCAGGCATGTCCTAGAATGAACTCCTTGGAGCTGATAAAGGTGACGCCCAGTGTGGACCTCTACCAAGCAGCAGGGGTCCTCACTGTGGACTCTTGGAGTCCACTTACTGAAGCAGGATAAAGGTCTTGCTTTTAAGGTGGATTTTTATTTTCCTTCTGATAATGTGTTAATTAAAATTATTTTAATTTAAAAATGCATGCAGTAAAAATTTAAATGGTAAAAAGCAACAACAACAAAAAGAGTAAAGCTCTTTCCTACCAGACTCCCTGGTGAGAGATATCCACTGCCAAGAGCTTTTATGTCCTTCCAGAGCCTGAGAAGTCAAGGCTTGGAGGATGAGATGGATGGAGCTGGGGGAGAGGATGTGGGAGGCAATGGGGGATGAAACTCGGCAGGGAGGCAGGAATTGGGATTATAAGGGGGGAGACTGGCCTGGTCATAGGTTGTGAAGAAGTTGTAGGTGATGTAGTTTCAAGGTAAATTAAGGCCAGACCATGAAGGGCCTTGTATGCCAAGACTATTTCATAGCCTGGGATCTGCTGTGCCATTAGAACCTTTAGAAGCCCAGAGGTACCTTGCTGGGTCAGTCCATAGAGCATGTGACTCTTGATTTCGGAGTCAAGCCCCATGTTGGGTGTAGAGGTTACTTTAAAAATCTTTAGAAGCCCAGAGTGTATTGCTCTGAGAGGTCAGACACAGTGGAAATGGAAGTCTTGAGACAGCAAATTTAAATAAGACACCACTGGAAACAATGACAAGTGAACAATAATCATATTCAAGCTTTTGGGCACCATAATTGACCCTCTGAGATCTGGTCCAAGGATATTGGATGTTGGTGAGTAAGGGGAAGGAGGAAACCTCATACAGGGCTCAAGATGAATCAACCTATGACTATTTAACAGTATGGGTTTATTGGATTGTTAGAAAAACGTGCAACAGGGCATCCTATCAGCCTGAGGCCCTGAGAGCAGGACCATTTGGGGGAGGCCATGGCTGCCATTCCATCTGCCATTGATTCAGGGAGCCATTGTGCAGAGATAATTCTAGAAGTAATTCTTGAGAAGAGGAGTCTTAGGTGTGAGAATCTCACTCCCCTCTCCCTACCCACACCACCCCATGAGGTACCCCTAGGTCCCCTTACACAAGAATCTAATAGTATGATGCTGGCACTGTGTCGCTAAGGTTAAGAACCTCTAGTCAAATCTCTTGAGATGTATTTTAAATCAACATCCTCCAGCATTGGAATTTCTATAGATTTACTGTCCTAAGAGAAAACTGCCCTTGGTTTGTATCCCATTCAAGATTCAAGGGAGATCCTTACCCAGTCAGAACTGAAAGCGTGTGTTGGTTACCTGGGTGTCCCCACAACTTCCATCCCTATGGGGCCAATATCCTTTAACCATAAAAGGACTTGAGTCCCCATCCTACAAATAGTGTCAAAAGCAGTAGCCCCCACCCCACATCTCCCCTGTGGAGATGAGGACTGGTTCCTTGTCCTTTGTTAGCTCCTGCTTCCTGAATTTGCAAATTCGCATGTGTCTGCTCTCAGCTCTGCATTAACCCAGACAGCTCTTTTGCCTTTTCTTAGTTTTCCCCAGATCAGATTTCTTTTTTTTTTAAGATTTTATTTATTCATGAGAGACACAGAGAGAGAGAGAGAGAAGCAGAGACACTGGCAGAGGGAGAAGCAGGCTCCATGCAGGGAGCCTGATGTGGGACTTGATCCCGGGTCTCCAGGATCATGCCCTGGACTGAAGGCGGCGCTTAAACTGCTGAACCACCGGGGCTGCCCCCCAGATCAGATTTTATGTGCAGTAGTATATTTTTATCCTTTGGAGATTTTAGAGGGTCTCAGCCCAGCTAACGACCCAAAATCAGGCCTAAAGTATTTATTGTCTCTTCTCTTTTTTAAGGTTTTACTTATTTACTCTTGAGAAACCCACAGAGAGAGGCAATCTCCCTGCGGGGAGCTTAATGCAGTACTCAATCCCAGGGCCCCGGGATCACAACCTGAACCAAAGGCAGACGCTCAGCCACTGAGCCACCCAAGTGCCCCACTATCTCTGTTCTTAATATGTTGGAGAACTTTTGCCAGGAATTTCTCAGAATTCACCATTTTCCATTCTTGATCTGGTATCTTACCTGCCCCTCTAAAGACTAGCTCTTTTCCCCCTTTCTTAGATCTCTCATTCCCCCCTCCCAGAGTATCCAAGGAAATACCCAAATCCTCATTTATTAGGGGACCAATTGAATTTTGTTCCTCACCTTCTCCCTTCCAAGCCATTTCTGGGGCCTATTTTTCCCCGTTTAAAATGGCAAAATTTGTGAAACAAAACACTGCATTCTAAGAAATTCTGCATTACGTTTTAATCCATTTATGGAGTTTCAAGTAGATCTTACCTTAATACACGCAAAATTCAAAATGGATAAAAGGATGTGCAGAAAACAACTCGTCACCCAGTCACCCGGTTCCTCTACCTGAAGCTGACTAGTCAACTCTGGAGAACAGAGAAGATTCTGGAAGGAAGCTGGAATCATTCACAGAGTCAAAGGAACAGTTGAACAGTCAATCCCGGACAGAGGCAAAACTGTGTCTCTCATTTCTGCTCCTTTCTGTATGTTGGGATCATTCTTTCAAACCAACTTACTCCAAAAAATGGGGGATGAACAAAACTGAAGCAGGCTCCCCACAGGGACCCCCACCCAGTGCCCAGTACAGAGTTCTATCCTGGAACTCTGGGATCATGCCCTGAGCTGAAGGCAGATGCTCAACCTCTGAGCCACCCAGACGCCCCTGAAGATTTTATTTATTCATGAGAGGCAAAGAGAGAGAGGCAGAGGGAGAAACAGGTTACATGCAGGGAGCCCGATGTGGGACTTGATCCCAGGACCCCATGATCATGACCTGAGCCAAAGGCAGATGCTAAACCACTGAGCCACCCAGGCATTCCCCCAGAAGATTATTTGAGAGAAGGAGCACAAAAGACCTGGTCTCTGTCATCTAAAGATTTCGGGATAGTAAGGGGAACAGAATAGAAAGGGTCTCAACTAAGTGGAATAAAGCCATGATCTATAAACTTTTTCAAGTAAAAATATGTTTGGGCATACATATATGTA